ACTAGACTAATGAAGGTGACTAGACTAATGAAGGTGACTAGACTAATGAAGGTGACTAGACTAATGAAGGTGACTAGACTAATGAAGGTGACTAGACTAATGAAGGTGACTAGACTAGTGACTAGACTAATGAAGGTGACTAGACTAGTGACTAGACTAATGAAGGTGACTAGACTAATGAAGGTGACTAGACTAGTGACTAGACTAATGAAGGTGACTAGACTAATGAAGGTGACTAGACTAATAAAGGTGACTAGACTAATAAAGGTGACTAGACTAATGAAGGTGACTAGACTAAGTGACTAGACTAATGAAGGTGACAAGACTAATGAAGGTGACAAGACTAATGAAGGTGACTTGACTAATGAAGGTGACTTGACTAATGAAGGTGACTAGACTAATGAAGGTGACTTGACTAATGAAGGTGACTAGACTAATGAAGGTGACTTGACTAATGAAGGTGACTAGACTAATGAAGGTGACTTGACTAATGAAGGTGACTAGACTAATGAAGGTGACTAGACTAATGAAGGTGACTAGACTAATGAAGGTGGCTTGACTAATGAAGGTGACTAGACTAATGAAGGTGACTAGACTAATGAAGGTGGCTTGACTAATGAAGGTGACTAGACTAATGAAGGTGGCTTGACTAATGAAGGTGACTAGACTAATGAAGGTGGCTTGACTAATGAAGGTGACTTGACTAATGAAGGTGACTAGACTAATGAAGGTGACTTGACTAATGAAGGTGACTTGACTAATGAAGGTGACTTGACTAATGAAGGTGGCTTGACTAATGAAGGTGACTAGACTAATGAAGGTGGCTTGACTAATGAAGGTGACTTGACTAATGAAGGTGACTAGACTAATGAAGGTGACTTGACTAATGAAGGTGACTAGACTAATGAAGGTGACTAGACTAATGAAGGTGACTTGACTAATGAAGGTGACTAGACTAATGAAGGTGACTTGACTAATGAAGGTGACTAGACTAATGAAGGTGACTAGACTAATGAAGGTGACTAGACTAATGAAGGTGGCTTGACTAATGAAGGTGACTTGACTAATGAAGGTGACTAGACTAATGAAGGTGACTTGACTAATGAAGGTGACTAAACTAATGAAGGTGACTTGACTAATGAAAGTGACTAGACTAATGAAGGTGACTAGACTAATGAAGGTGACTTGACTAATGAAGGTGACTTGACTAATGAAGGTGACTTGACTTGACTAATGAAGGTGACTAGAGTAATGGACTTGACTTGGCCTGCCCTAACTTCCCTCTTGAGTTCACACACACCTTGCACGTTTCCCATGAGCGTGTCGAGCTTGAAGCCGGTGAAGTTGGCGCTGGTCGGCCCGACCGAGGTGTTGGTGTGTCCGGGAAGCTGGACGGTGCGAAACGGCACGGCGAAGAAGCTGACGAAGATGGTGCCCAGAACCACCATGACGAGGATGAAGATGATGAAGGTGGCTTTGGCGTAGATGTGAGCTCCGATGAGACACACCAGTAAACACACCAGCAGAAGAACTGTGCCGTATAGAAGAGACCACCAGTATCCGCCCGGCAACACAGCGTACCGGGACACGGCCAGAGACGAGCCCTCTGACACACACAGAGACATTATTTATTATAACACTATTCATAGCCATTGATGCTGGGAATACATAAATAATTTAAATAAGATTTATTTATTTACTAGTCATTAAAAGCCATTGATGCTGGAAATAAATAAATAAATAATTTAAATAAAAGGTAGGCAACCTTCATTCTGTTTTCCCTCACCTCATTTACATCTGACACGCACTTTATCTAAAGAGACTTATAATGCATTCAGGGAAGAGTTCAGAAGCCTGGATACCTTCAGGAACACCGAAGGTCGTGAGCATGGCCTCCACCAGCCCCAGCACATAAAGGGCGCTGCCGCACACGTTAGCCAAGAAGAACATGATCCCGATGCTGCCGCCGAACTCTGGACCCAGAGCACGACTGATCATATCTGCACACGCAAACACACACACACACACACGCAAACACATGCAAACACACACGCAAAAGCACACGCAGAGGCACAGAGACGCAAACACACGTAGACGCAAACACACAGAAAAACACACGCAGAAACAAAAACACAAACACATCGTAGCTAAGGAAAAGAGAAACGGGAGTAGTTCTGCACACACACACACACACGTTTGAGTGTGATCTGAGGAGAAACAGGAGTAGTTCTGCACACACACACACACACGTTTGAGTGTGATCTGAGGAGAAACAGGAGTAGTTCTGCACACACACACACACACGTTTGAGTGTGATCTGAGGAGACACAGGAGTAGTTCTGCACACACACACACACACACACACACACACGTTTGAGTGTGATCTGAGGAGACACAGGAGTAGTTCTGCACACACACACACACACGTTTGAGTGTTAGGATACAGTACGCTCCTCCGGCGTCCAGCGCTCCGTTGGTTGAGATCGCACACACTGACAGA